TCAACAACACATCGAGACTCTTGGAGGTTTTCATCTTTTCTGCTGTGAATGGCCCAGGAGTTTCCACCAAGTCATTGTGGATGTCGCCCAAGTGAATATTTGTCCAGGTAGTTGGAGATTCTGACCAGAAATTTGGTTTGGTCCACCTTTTGTCGGGGTTGAAAAGGGTGATTTGTCGTCCGTCGATGTTTATGACCAATTTCTGGTCAAATGGTCTTGGGTCCTCTGCCGTTAGAGTGGATAAATAACGGGATCAATACCCTTTACGTGCTTTCTCGCTCCGTCCGTCATGTTGAATTAGTGTTTCTTGCCGCCGACCAAAATAATTCCCAGCATGCAACGCACGCTTTTGTCAACAATGAAACTCGCCTATTGTGCAATAAATCTTATTTTTACAACAGTTTCTAGACCAAAACAGGATCTGTTGAACTGATATCATGGAAGACAATATCAAATCCACTAAAACTTTAAGTATCGGCTATGGGTGGACAATATCAACATTTTTTTTAAACTTGATATGGATTCTGACATATCGTTTGTATCACTATAGTGCTTATTTAATTCTGATTTTGCCACTTCGCTTGTTTGCCTTCTCCGTGCTCACTGCCGCCATGAACGCCCAAAGTTGGTGCCGATGAAAAGCTTCTACCACCACAAACCTTTTCCACCATTTACCGTATTTTCTGCACTATTAGTCGTTCTGGATTATAAGACACACTGTCATTAAATGGTCTATTTTTGAACTTTTTTCACAAATAAACCGCGTGGGACTTTAAAGGAAACCCAACAGTGTGATGGGTGAGTGGTTTAGTTTGTTTGTTCGTTCACAGTGACTCTGGGCTTTGTTCAGTTGTGGCGTGTAGGGAGGGTGTGTCTGGGGCCAAAGGATTGTCGGCGTGTTCACAGTGACTCAGTTGTTCAGTCGTGTCTAGAAGTGGCACATTGCGCTCGCTTCTTCGGTTCGTTCCGTTCCTCGTCGGCGTGGAGTGTGTCTGTGGGTGTGTTTTTGCTGTGCGGTCGTGTATACGGCGCTCTGGATTTTGGCTCGCAGTCGTTTTTTGATGGGGTTGGAGGCTTATGAGCGCGTCTGATAGCCTGGAAAATACGGTACAGACTCGGCATCAGCAGCACTTCCCTCTGTCACAGAAAGAACACTCATATTCCACTGAGTCGAGTCCTTTAGTCCGACAGAAGCTGAACCACATCTGCGTACAAGGAGCGAGCTGTTTATCAGCGCCAAGATCTGATACCAGTTTTGTGTCGCTGAATCCCGACTTGTAGCTTTAATTTTTTAATATTATTTAAATATTGGAAATGTTCTTTATATTTGACGCCAGTGTTTCTTTATATTTATTTAGTCGTGTGTGTTTTCATCCTGCGTCTGTGAGCTCTTACTGATTTCCATTTTGATATTCAGAATAACGACTTAAATCTTTGCGTTCAGTTCTTTCAAATCGGAGGCTTTCTTCTTGTTAATCGTGCTCGTGCCTTGAGGTTGTGGACAATCCCCCGCCAGCTCCATTGTTGTCGTCAAGGTTACAGCCGTGCAGTGTGTGTGGAACCTTCTCACAGTCAGACCCCCGCGCACTTCACCCGCCTCGACGCTTTTTTTGAATATCGGACAAACGTTTTATCTGTGTCCAACGTCCAACACGCGGCACTTTTGACATTTTTATCAGAAGTGTAACGATGCTCCGTCTGCTCGCTCCCCTCCCTCTGATCCAGACGCAGCTCCTCACCTTCTCTCTACTTCTCATCTTTATAATCCAAGTTATGGAAAGTAAACAATTATTTTCTGATCATTCATGAGAGAAACGTAAGGCCGCATTTAGCGCACGGACATCGCACGCGTTTCTGCCGCTGACGGTAACACGCGTATGCTTTTAGGTTTAATATATTGTACAAACTCATTCCAAACTTTAAATATGGATTTTTCTGGAATGATCAGTCCTATGAACAAGAAATAAACTGTATTGATCCTGTTTGTTTTTCTGTAAGCTGGAAGAAAAATCAAATCAAAAATCGAGATTGATCAATTTGTGGAGGAAAAAAATCTTGTTTTTTTTCCCTATATTGTTAGTCAGGCTGGCGCCACCTAGTGCCTCCACTCAGTTTAATTTCTCTCCAGTGACTAGATCAGGAATCAGAAAACACTAGACCAGGAGAGTCAAACTCAGAGGCCAAAATAAAAAAAAATGGGACTAAGTCGAGGGCCAAACTAAATATTTACTGAAAAATTTCAACACCATCTGCAGGTTTTCTCTTCTTTCGAGATATGTAATGTTAAACCTTTACTTATTCAAATAAATGTTTAATAATAGTTTTGCTTAAACATTGAATCCAGAACAAGCAAAATATAAAATAATAACAACATTTTAAATAAATCATGTTTCTATAGTCGATCTGTGTGTGGCAGCAGCTCTAATACAGATTTGATCTGATCTCACAGGCCAAATATATTTGTGGGCCAAATTTGGGCCCCGGGCCTGAGTTTGACATGTCTGACCTAGACGGTTTACAAGAACCTCGGAAGTTGTAGACCGCACACCAGCCAATCAGAGAAGAGCCAGACATTCTGTGTTGGCAACGATTCCAGAGATTGAGGATTTAAAGTTGGAACAAAGAGAATGTTTGATGAATTTTATCAAGGGAAAAGACGTTTTTGTTCTTCTTCCTACAGGATTTGGAGCATTACATACGTCATGACCAAACAGCAGCGACTGGTTAAATAAAAAAAGTCCCGCCTACTGTCGAGCGAACAAATCCTAATGCTGCGAGGTCACACGGTTTGTACAAAGTGAAACCGGCTGATGAATCAGGCTAGGATATCGTCTCAGCCTTATGTCAAATAAGTCCAATGTCCAAATGATTCTAGTGTGGATTCTAGGTGTGTGGAGTTTAAAAACACAGTGGAGCACTTCCTGTAGCACCACATGACATCACAAGGTGGAACAGAGCGTTTTCAGATACAAAAAAAGAGATATAAATATTATCAGTGATTGTGGGTCCAGTGTTTGGAGCGTGTGTCTGACGGAGCTGAACTGAGCTGCTCTTTTCTTCTGTTTCCTGTGGACAAACTCAAGGCCGAGCGCTCGAACGGCTTTTGTCTGTTTTTCTCTCATTTTGTCTATTATTGTGCGTTTGTGCGTCTGTGTGTGTGTTTGTGTGTGTGCGTTTGTGTGTGTGCGTTTGTGTAGGTGAGGTCAGGAGAGCCTCTTGACTCCGGGAAAGGCAGGGCAAAAGCTGCAGCTGAGACTCTGAATGAAAGAGCGAGGAGAAAGAGTCCCACCCTGTGATGTCATCTGGTGCTAATGCAGAACTACTTGTTTTTTTAAAGTCATGCGTTCGTTTAGAATATTTAACGAACGCGCAGGATTTATTTTGTGTTTCCACTTTTGTCCGATGCTCAAACACTGGAGACAAAATGAAGGACATAACAGTCTCTGGTTAGGGGCGTGCAAAAATATTGAAATATCGATATATCGTATCGTTTAATGTGATGGTACAGTATCGATATCATGAGCTGCTGTATCGATATATATTGCTAAGAGTATTTTTTTTTTTTTTTACATGTTTTGGTAAATTATTTTGTTAGAGCTACAGTTTTGTTGTTTGTTCAGAGGAAGGCACACTGCAAAAACTAATAGATTTGTTCAAAATGACTTAAATTAAGAACGTTTGACTTTATTTGAGTCGATTCTACCGATTTTTATTCGATTTTATCCAATCGAAAGCTCACTGAATCGAGATGTATATCGTATCGTGGCCTGTGTATCGAGATATGTGTCGTATCGGCAACTTCTTACTGATACCAGCTCTAATTCTCACCTTCAGGTCTGAATCCTGGAGGTTTTAGTGTTTTTAGGGTTTTGTAGACGAGGTTTCTGAGGTGCTCGTCTCAACTGTTTTTGAAATCAAGACTTTTCGGCTCCATCCAGAAACCATTTTCCATTTGATTTGGGAAAAGTCTGGACCAGTGATGGATTACACCTCCTGTGTTTCAGCTGCTTTTCACCTGAGCACAGGTTTAAGTATTTGTAATTAAAACAAGTGTTATACCTTCACTGTATAAATGTCAGTTTACTTTTCTTTGACAATGCAGTGTTTCCCGCAGAAAATTGATTAGTCAAGAGGGTGACGAGGGTGGCACTGGGGCGCGACGACTGTAGTTTTGTGAGGATTCATGTGGTTCAGAGACGTAGTCAAGGCGGGGGGGTAATTGTTGTCAAGGCGGCCGCTCTAAGTATAAAGCGCCGCAGGAAACTCTGAAATGGATAAACAAGCAATACTTCTAACCTCAGAATTCACAGAAAAGGTGAAAAAAAGTGAACAAAAACACAGAGGGAACTACATAGACCATGATCCTTTGCTCCATTTCAGTGCAGACGACAGAAGAAATAACATTTCTAACACTTTTAAGTCTTAGTTTTTTGGATTAAATCTAGTCAAGGCATTTTAAGAGGAGAGGAGGAGGAGCATATTCAGTTTTGTTTGCAGCCTCCACAAAATGTCACAATAAATATACTGTGAGATGTATATTGTGAAAATATTGTACAGAGAGATTTGGATATTGTTACATCTAATCGTGAACTTTCCCACGATATCGTAATAAATATCGTACCGTGATGATATCGTATCGTGAGACTTGGATATCGTTACACCTCTAGTTTGAGCCTAAACCCTTCGACTTTAACTTTCCACCAAAATCACCGTGTTCCTCTTCACATCAGCAGCAACAACCTGCATGCTAACGCGCACTTCCTCATTATTAGACAATTAAAACACTGACCTGCTGCTGGTGTGTGTTTAATGAAGTACTGGGAAAGACGAAGTCCGCTTCAGTACAAGGAAACCGTTTCAGGGTTTTTAAAAACACGTGTGTCGTATTGGACTTTTTTACATGATGATGGTTCAGAGTCGTGATTGTAAATGTTGTAAATGTTGTAAATGTTGTAAATGTTGTAAATGTTGTAAATGTTGTAAATGTTTGTTTTGGGCAGATGGTGGGAAAGATGGGCGCTGAAGGCCTTCCTCACATGAACAACTCCTCTTCTTCTGTGGAACAGTCTCTGTACTACAGCGGCCAGAAACGCGAGGACACAGGTACTGCAATACTACAAATATATATACACAAGTACTACACTACTACAAATATATACACAAGTACTACACTACTACAAATATATACACAAGTACTGCACTACTACAAATATATATACAGAAATACTGCACTACTACAAATATATACACAAGTACTACACTACTACAAATATATACACAAGTACTACACTACTACAAATATATACACAAGTACTGCACTACTACAAATATATACACAAGTACTGCACTACTACAAATATATATACACAAGTACTACACTACTACAAATATATACACAAGTACTACACTACTACAAATATATACACAAGTACTACACTACTACAAATATATACACAAGTACTACACTACTACAAATATATATACACAAGTACTACACTACTACAAATATATACACAAGTACTACACTACTACAAATATATACACAAGTACTACACTACTACAAATATATACACAAGTACTACACTACTACAAATATATATACACAAGTACTGCACTACTACAAATATATACACAAGTACTACACTACTACAAATATATACACAAGTACTACACTACTACAAATATATACACAAGTACTACACTACTACAAATATATACACAAGTACTGCACTACTACAAATATATATACACAAGTACTACACTACTACAAATATATATACACAAGTACTACACTACTACAAATATATACACAAGTACTACACTACTACAAATAATACACAAGTACTACTACTACAATATACACAAGTACTGCACTACTACAAATATATACACAAGTACTGCACTACTACAAATATATATACACAAGTACTGCACTACTACAAATATATATACACAAGTACTACACTACTACAAATATATATACACAAGTACTACACTACTACAAATATATATACACAAGTACTGCACTACTACAAATATATATACACAAGTACTGCACTACTACAAATATATATACACAAGTACTACACTACTACAAATATATACACAAGTACTGCACTACTACAAATATATACACAAGTACTACACTACTACAAATATATACACAAGTACTACACTACTACAAATATATATACACAAGTACTGCACTACTACAAATATATAACACAAGTACTGCACTACTACAAATATATACACAAGTACTGCACTACTACAAATATATACACAAGTACTGCACTACTACAAATATATATACACAAGTACTGCACTACTACAAATATATATACACAAGTACTACACTACTACAAATATATATACACAAGTACTACACTACTACACAAATATATACACAAGTACTACACTACTACACAAATATATACACAAGTACTGCACTACTACAAATATATATACACAAGTACTGCACTACTACAAATATATATATACACAAGTACTGCACTACTACAAATATATATATACACAAGTACTGCACTACTACAAATATATATACACAAGTACTGCACTACTACAAATATATATACACAAGTACTGCACTACTACAAATATATATACACAAGTACTGCACTACTACAAATATATACACAATACTGCACACTACTATAATACACAAGTAAATATATATATACACATACACACGTACTGCACTACTACAAATATATACACACAAGTACTGCACTACTACAAATATATATACACACAAGTACTGCACTACTACAAATATATATACACACAAGTACTGCACTACTACAAATATATATACAGAAATACTGCACTACAAATATATACACAAGTACTGCACTACTACAAATATACACACAAGTACTGCACTATTGTAAATATATATATACACATACACACGAGCACTGCACTACTACAAATATATATACACACAAGTACTGCACTACTACAAATATATATATACACACAAGTACTGCACTACTACAAATATATATACACACAAGTACTGCACTACTACACATATATATACACACAAGTACTGCACTACTACACATATATATACACACAAGTACTGCACTACTACACATACACACACACACGCAGCAGGTGTCAGTTCTTTTCTCCCTTATTTATTACACAAGACACTTTCTGATCAGGTCACAGTGTCAGTGTAGAAAAATAAAAACAGAACAGGTTGTAAACTGTTTGCAGTCGTCATACGTTCTTCTTCACTCACCTTCTGTATTCAGAGCGTTTCACTTTTCACATCACTCAGAGCCCAGAGCGTGAAGATGAATCTGTGTGTCATTCATTCATTTGTTTTTCAAAATAAAACCAAAAATAAGAAAACTTTATTATATGTCTCCAAAACCAAAATGTAAAAATGGATAATGGACCGAACGGTCTCAGGCCCAGTCTGATCCTGCTCTTAGTCCTTGTTTGGTCCTGGTTTGGTCCCGGTCTTAGTCCCAGTCTCAGTCTCAGTCCCAGTCTTATTCCTGGTCTGGTCCCGATCTTGGTCCTGGTCCTGGTCTGGTTGCAGTCTCAGTCCTAAACCAGGACTAAACGAGGACTGAACCAGGACTGAACCAGGACTGAACCAGGACTGAACCAGGACTGAACCAGGACTGAACCAGGACTGAACCAGGACTGAACCAGGACTGTTGGGACGGGCCCGTAGGTGCGCCTGTGTAGATTTGTCGGGTGATCAGGAAAGAGGGACCAGACTGGGACTGAGACCTGGTTTAGACTTGTTTTAGTCCTGGTTCAGTCCGACATCACACTTGAAGTCACAAAAATAAGAAACTGTTGTTATGCATTTTTTCCATTTTTCATTTAAACACAAAATCAAAAACTGAAAAAACAAATCATTATCTGTTTTTTTTTTTTTTTTCATTTTGGTTTTGGAGATAAATAATGAAGAAAATATATATATATATTTTTTTTTTTCTTATTTTTGGGTTTATTTTGAAAAACAAATGAACAAACGACACACAGATTCAAAGTTCTTCCTCACTCACCTTCTGCATTCAGAGCCTCCTGATTATTCACCACTGTGAGTTGAGAAGCGCTTTTCACGTTTCACTCTTCACGTCTCTCAGATCTCAGAGTTTTTCCGTGACGGTAAAGCCGACAGCAACTCGCATCCAATGTTTTCTAATGAGCCGTGGACATATTTTGACTTTAAGAGCGGCTCGTACGACGTGTCTGTGCAGCGAAAGGAAACGTTTTGCTCAAATACATGCGGGAAAATCTGAAAAATCCAGTTCCAGGGCCTTTTGAGTCTTTATTTGTGACACACGACTCAGATTCAGATTGAAGTTTGTGATGATTCTGTTCTGTGTGATTCCAGGGAACCAGCTGGGAGCCATGAGCCATCAGAGGTACGGGCCCCTCCATTGATCCTCTCCGTGCATGAACCTGTGTGTGTGTGGACGTGTGTGTGGAGGCACCGCGGGGCCCCCGGCGTTCACCCGTTCACTCCCCCTCTCATATTGATCTGATCTACATGTCGTTGGGCTCGGGGTGATTCTGATGTGCTTCTGATGTGTGTTTCAGAGTGATCACAGAGGATTACAAGGTCCCAGACAAAATGGTGGGATTCAGTAAGTATGTTTTTGTGCTTTTTACCGTGAGAGACGCAGACGGACACACAGACAGGACAGTGTTGGGGAGTAACAGATTACATGTACCAGAGTTATGTAATCAGAGTACAAATTATAAGTAACTGTATTCAGTTACAGTTACTGTTTCAGTGAGTGGTAATTGGATTACAGTTACTTTGTTGAAATAAATGGATTACATGGTGGTATTTTCCTGTCACATTTTCACGTTTTGGGCTAAATCCCACGTCTCCTTCCGTACTGCGTAGACATTGCCGGTCTACTGTGCCCCTCTAAACTAGAACTAACACCAGGACTAAAACCGGGACTAAACCAGGCCTAAACTAATACTAAAACCAGGACTAAAGCCAGGACTAAAGCCAGGACTAAGGCCAGGACTAAGGCCAGGACTAAGGCCAGGACTAAGGCCAGGACTAAGGCCAGGACTAAGGCCAGGACTAAGGCCAGGACTAAAGCCTCAGGACTAAAGCCAGGACTAAGGCCAGGACTAAGGCCAGGACTAAGGCCAGGACTAAGGCCAGGACTAAGCAGGACTAAAGCCAGGACTAAAGCCAGGACTAAAGCCAGGACTAAGGCCAGGACTAGACCAGGAACTAAAACCAGGACAAAACATCTTATGTTAAGATTTCCTAGTCTTTGCTACTTTATGGTAAACAGTTGTTTATTCATGGAGACTTGGGCTCAACAGACAATTTAAAGAGAACAAACAAGAATTTTCAGGATGTGGTTGGTACATTCATGTAGTTTTAAAAACATGACAATATCAAGTAATCCAATGTATTCAGACTACGTTACTCACCTTAAGTAACTTCATGGATTCCGTTACAAACTACATTTTGGGATATGTAATCTGTAATCTGTAGGGGATTACATTTTAAAAGTAAACTTCCCAACACTGCAGACAGGACAGTGAAGGAGGCGTTCAAATCCGTGTGTCGTTCGTTCATTCATTTTTCAATATAAAACCAAACATAAGAAAATGAAAAAATCAACTATTTTCTTCATTATTTGTCTCCAAAGCCAAAATGAAAAAACAGATAATGATTCGTTTTTTTTTTTCAGTTTTCGATTTTGTGTTTAAATGAAAAATGGAAAAAACGGATAACGGCCGTTTCCCGTTTACGTGACTAACTGTGATGCCGGACTGAACCAGGACTGAACCAGGTCCGGGACAGAGACCGGGACAGAGACCGGGACAGGGACAGAGACCGGGACAGAGACCGGGACAGAGACCGGACAGGGACAGAGACCAGGACAGAGGACCGGGACAGGGACAGAGACCAGGACAGGGACCGGGACAGGGACCGGGACAGGGACAGAGACCAGGACAGGGACCGGGACAGGGACAGAGACCAGGACAGGGACCGGGACAGGGACCGAGACCGGGACAGGGACCGGGACCGAGATCGGGACCGGGACAGGGACCGGGACCGGGACCGGGACCGGGACCGGGACCGGGACCGGGACCGGGACAGGGACCGGGACAGGGACCGAGACCGAGACCAGATGCTCAGAGTGTGTGTGTGTGTGTGTGTGTGTGTGTGTGTTGCGTTTTTGTGTGTGTGTGTGTGTTTTCAGTCATCGGTCGGGGAGGGGAGCAGATCACCAGAATCCAGCTGGAGTCGGGCTGTAAAATTCAGATCGCAGCAGGTCAGACACACACCGCTCTATTTGTATTTGTTGTGTATGTGTTTGTGTTCATGTGTGACCAGAGTAACTCCTCTTCTTCTTCTTCCTCCTCCTCCCCCTCCTCTTCTTTTTCGTTTTCTTCTTCTCCTGTTGTGCTGCAGACAGTGGAGGTCTGATGGAGCGGCCATGTTCTCTCACTGGGACCCCAGAGAGCATCGAGTGAGTCTGCGGCTACGTTTAAACTCTAGATTTTCATGTATTTCTAAATAGGACTTCGGGACTTGTGGTCAATATGTCGTAGTTTCATAGAAAAGTAAAAACAGGAGGCTCATCTGTCTTGTGTGTGTGTTCCTCAGACAGGCGAAGCGTTTGCTGGTTCAGATCGTGGATCGCTGCAGAAACGGCCCTGGGTTCCACTCAGATGCCGACGGAGCCGCATCAGTGCAGGAGATGCTCATCCCGGCCAGTAAAGTGGGACTGGTGATCGGACGAGGAGGAGACACCATCAAACATCTACAGGTGACACGGGGGACATTAAGATACAGAGACGTGAGAGATTCCGTTTGAAAAAGCGATAATATTTCAGTTGTTGATTTGTAAGTTCCTTTAAGGGACACACAAATAACATCCATATTGAAGATGGTGATTACAGTAACGATAGTCGGCCTGTAAAATGTAGAATTGTGAGAGTAGACTGTTGAATACATTATCAGTGTTATAAATTATTATATTGGAGGCAAAGTGCACTGAAACGTCTCTTTTCCACGGCCATGGTTATTTTGTCCAATCACCTCGTCTGGGTGTTTTAACCTCATGTCAGCTAAACCAATCCAGAAGCCGCTCAGACGCCTTTGGTTCTCCCTCAGACCCTTTAGGTTCCACCCCAGACCCTCGGGTTCCCCTCAGACTCTTTGGGTTCCCCTTAGATGCCTTGGGTTCCCCTCCAGACCCTTCAGGTTCCCCTTCAGACTCTTGAGGTTCCCTCCAGACCCTCGGGTTCCCCTTAGACACCTTGGGTTCCACCCCAGACCCTCAGGTTCCGCTCAGACTCTTTGGATTCCCCTTATAGATGCCTTGGGTTCCCCCTCAGACCCTTCAGGTTCCCCTTCAAACCCTCGGGTTCCCCTTAGACGCCTGTGTTCCCCTCCAGACCCTTCAGGTTCCCTCCAGACCCTTGTTTTCCCCTCAGACCCTGCAAGTTCCCCTTCAGACTCTTCAGGTTCCCTCCAGACTCTCAGGTTCTCCTTAGACGTCTTGGGTTCCCCCTCAGATTCTTCAGGTTCCACCCCAGACCCTTGGGTTCCCCTTAGACCCTTCAGGTTCCCCTTCAGACCCTCAAACAGATCAGTACAGTTCCCTGTGGACAGTGGAGACAGACTCGGGCCGCTCTCACCTGCTCCAGAGTGATCAGTGTAAATGAGGCAGATGTTCTTGTGCTTCAGGAGAGAGCCGGAGTGAAGATGATGATGATCCAGGATGGACCTATGCCAACAGGAGCAGACAAACCCCTCAGGATCTCAGGGGACCCGTACAAAGTGCAGGTGAGAACAAGAGCTACGATTTACAGCTGCAGGTTCACAAACTCGATTATAGACCAAGATTTAAATATAAAGTGAAATGTTCTCTGAGTGGGGAGATGGTTTTAGTCGTGTTTTCTGTGGTCCCTGTATGTCCTGGTTGATTTCTCTGTTTAATGTGTGCGTTTGTGTTTTTGCAGGCGGCCCGGGAGCTGGTCCTGGAGGTGATCCGGGAGAAGGACGGAGACTTCAGAAGAAACGACTTTGGCGCTCGACTCGGAGGAACCTCTGTGGACGTAAGGCTCAGATCCCGCACTGATAACGGTCCAAAAACATTTAGGTCTTTTACTTTATTTAGTTCAACTGGACAAATCATCTAAAGGGCCTGGACCCGAGTTCTTAACATGTGTTTCAGCAAAATTCTCTTGCCCAGTCCAGATTTGTTGTATAAGCAGCTCGAGGTCAAAATCCCCCTCGGTGTCTGTGCAGGTGCCTGTGCCGCGCTTCGCTGTGGGGATCGTGATCGGACGAAACGGAGAGATGATCAAGAAAATCCAGAACGACGCCGGGGTCAGAATCCAGTTCAAAGCAGGTACTGGACCGAGCCCGGAGGGACAGGGGACGAGGACGAGGCCTGTGCGTCTCCTTCTCACCCGAGTCCAGAGTTTAACGAGAGTTTTTGTTTCCAGACGATGGCATCAGTCCTGAGCGTGTGGCGATGGTCATGGGGCAGATGGACCGCTGTCAGCACGCCATCCACATGATCAACGAGCTCATCCAGACCGCGCAGGTGAACCAAACAAACACACCCACAGTATATAAAACCAACAAACTCATCCAGATGCACAGGTGAACAAAACAAACACACCCACAGCTCATCCAGACTGCGCAGGTGAACAAAACAAACACACCCACAGTATATATAACAAACAAGCTCATCCAGACTGCGCAGGTGAACAAAACAAACACACCCACAGTATATATATATATAACAAACAAGCTCATCCAGACTGCGCAGGTGAACAAAACAAACACACCCACAGTATATATAACAAACAAGCTCATCCAGACTGCGCAGGTGAACAAAACAAACACACCCACAGTATATATAACAAACAAGCTTATCCAGACTGCACAGGTGAACAAAACAAACTCACCCACAGTATATATAACAAACAAGCTTATCCAGACTGCACAGGTGAACAAAACAAACACACCCAAAGTTTATCCAGATGCACAGGTGAACAAAACAAACACACCCACAGTATCTATAACAAACAAGCTCATCCAGATGCGCAGGTATAAGAAACCTTCACTATCTATTGACACTTATGCAGTGTGGGTGAAGTGTCTTGCCTAAGGACACAACGCCTGGCGCCCCCCTGTGGCTCCTGCTGTTCCCAGTGTCTCCCACCCAAGTCCTGACCAGGCCCGGCTTAGCTGAGCTTCTGAGATCTGACGAGATCAGGCTTTGATAAGATTGTATGGCCACAATATTTATTAAGAAAATCAAAAGTGTATCTGCGTACTTTTAAACCCAAGGCTCAACTCACAACATTCACAACATTATTTTTAGTCGTTAAAAGTTTGGAATATTAGCTTTGTCGGCACAATATATAAGCTGCCGTTACTCGAAAGCCAGTGGTTTATCAAAAGATCAGGTCGGTGTTTGGTGAGAAATAATTCTTTCATGTTCATCTGTATTGATCTTGGTCTGATGCTTTGGAAGGTTGGACTCAGGCTCCTCAGGGTCTGATTCAGTTTCCTTAAAGAGGCCGATCTTCTCCAAATAGAACCAGTCGCTTTAAATACAGCGTAAGACCAGCTGCTACGAGATCATCCACAACAGACTTTCTCTCAAGAGCCTCATGGCACCTGCTCCTCTCACACCTTTACCTCCTCCTCTTCCTCTTCCTCTTCCTCCTCGTCGTGTCTGACCTGTCGTCCTCGTCTGCAGGAGCGTGACGGCTTCAGCTCGTCTCTCAGGGGACGGGTTCGGAGTCGTGGGGACTGGCCCATCGGTTCCCCCGGGCCCCTTCAGGAAGTGACCTACACCATCCCAGCAGACAAGTGCGGCCTGGTCATCGGCAAAGGTAACGGCACGCACGCTCGCTCACACGCACCTTGAGGGTCCGTCACCTGCTCGTTTCTATGGATACGTTATTGCTTTGCCTGGAATGTTCTGCAGTGTGACATTATACATCTCTACTTTACATTTATTCAGCTAAAGGTGGATTTATAGCTCAAAAATACTTCGAAAAACTGACATTCCTGACCTGTAACTTGGTCTGGTTTGGTCTCCATGGAGCTAGAAAGGTTTAATGCCATACTGTGGAACATTCCAGACAAAGCAATAACATCTCCAAACACAGAGAAAAGCGTTTGACGGACTCCAGAAAAGTTACATCAACATAATTCTTTTAATCAGAGACATTTAAAGAGAGGGTACTAAGCAAAAATCCACATTTTTCTACCGTGTTGCAGTGTTATTCCCTCATCAAAAACACGTCCGAGGAGGTTTGAGTAATCTAGTGATCTCTCCTGGGCCCTATTCAAACCCTCTTTATTGTTAACTGTAAGATTCTGTCCTGTGCTCGGTCGGGCTGGTATCAGTGAGAAGTTGCCGATACGATACGCACCTCGATACAGTGCGCGTTCGGTTCGATACGATATATTTCAAATGGATTCGATACGGTTCAATAAAAAATAAAGGCTAAATCGTGGCAAATCGTGATACAAAAATAGTTTCTTAAACCGCTTCTTGTGCAAAGTTCATCTGAAACACAAATATTTTAATCCTCAAAACAGTGAAAATGTCAAATGAGTTTCTTTCGTCTAAACAAACAACAAAACTGTAACTGTAACAAAATAATTTAGTAAAATAAACCAAAATATTCTCTTGGCGATATATATCGATACAGCAGCCCACGATATCGATACTGAATCATCACAATACGATATATCAATATTTCAGTATTTTGTTCTCAGTTCTCCATAAATATAAAAAAAAAACATGATACAAAACACACTACAGCTTCACAAACCTGAGGTGATGTGCAGGAGTTTCATTAGTGGGAGGAATACTGATTGTGTTCTGATGACGCTCTGAAGGTGAAGCGAGTTAGCGCGGGGAGCAAAGGGAGGAGGAGCTCAAAAATCAAAAAGCTTATAAAACACGTAAATATGTTTGGGGTTTTTTTGGTGAATATAGGATTTTCAAAACAAAAGGAACGTGGAGATCTCAGTTTGTGATGATGTGTTACACTTGATATCCCATAGTCCCTCTTTAATTGCTAGTCTAATTTCTCTGCAGGTTCTGAGTGTAAATGTGGGTTTTTCTTAGAGAGGGTGTTTCCTGGTGTTGCTCAGGTCCAGGTTAAAGCGGCTGGAGCAGCTGTATCCTGTGTGAGTCTGTATCTGTAAAGCTGAGGTCACGTGTGAGGAGCCGAAGGTCACAAACCAATGGCCCCTTCATTAGAGCACAAAGGGCCAGGGCCATTCTGCTCCAGACATTTAGCAATCTCAAATCCCCCCAGCCTCACACCGTCTGCGCTCACAGGGTTCACCCCGAGTTTGTTTTAGGTGGAGCGCGGGTATGTGGCAGGACTGGGCACCTCTGTTCACCAGCGTCATCATTGGGTCATGTTATTTTGCATGAGGCTGCCAGTTTTTACCTAATT